CACGGCCGGCCCTTGCCGGCCGTCCGGCTACAACTCTCGAACAATCAAACCTCAGATGGCATAACATGAACATAAGGACTGATTTAAACTGAAAACATGAATTTTGATCAATGGACTGAACTTGGCCACGGCGGACGCCCCGTGCGCCGCCGACGGTGTTAAGTCGTTTCACGACCGAACCTCATTTTCTCTCGGCAAATCAGAATTAACTGAACATGATCCATGATTACTGAATAAAAAAACACGATATACTCGAAGGATTTGAACTAAACATACTTAACGCAGATGCACGGCCCGTGGTGCGCTATATGCGCGACCACGTTCCCTTGGCCGAACACCGCATAAACATGAATAATATTATAAACACTTAAGCTTATCTGAACATGATATTACACAAAAAGACTAAACATACGAAGGTTGATCGGAGAATTCAACTTAAATCATAACATGACTCGATATAGCTACTCGCACGGCCGAACCTATGCATGACCCGCATGGAAGCTTGAACTGAAAACTGACTTAAAGAACATGATAATCTCAGCCTACAACCACAAGGAAATTACCTCCGATTATGCTCGACTGACAGCAATACTTTGGACTCCCGTGTTTGTGTGGCTCTCCGCGTGCGATGCGTCGCCGTGCGGTGCGGGTGCTGGGCCTGCGATGCGGTGTGGGATGAGCTTGCGGTACTTGCAGGCTAACTCCTTGCGGTAATCTCCTCTCCAAATTACACTAACTCTCTTATATAGTACATATATAAGGAATTAATATAGGCTGAATATTACTTATGGGAAAAGTGGGAATTTCCCAAACTTCTAACATATAAATATTAGAACCGATTGGAATAATGATGATGAGGTGATTTGTGTCATGTCCTTAGCTTAACACTTGGAGATAATACAAGGATTAATGGATGACTAATGATCTTAAAAACATGCCACCTCATCCTATTAGTTGAAGACCAAATTTCCCCCACTAATGTGCTCTCGGCAAATTTGGAATATAATTAGAAAAATCCTCACGGCTTAATTGCCTTAATCGTGATTAATTGCTAATTAATCACTTAATCATGTTTAATTATTTAATTAAACATAATACTTAATTACCAAAATTATTCCGAACGTAAATGGGACGTCGAAAATAATTTTCGGTAATTTAACTGAAATGACTGAAATAATTTAATTCCGAAAATTTTAATACTCGACGATATTAATATATCGGAACTAAAAACATGATTTATACTGATAAACTGAAGGGATATTACAGAACTCATATATTACTGAGCAAAAACAAGGACCTGCGAGCAGAATGGACCAAAATACAGAGCAGTGACTTCACTAGCAGATTAGCTAATTTCAACCGTATATGACGACGACAATATAACCAATGGCAACTGGGTTTCGATTAATAAGTAAACCTCCGAACATAACAATTTACCGTGTTTCGAAATACTTTTAAAAAAAATGGGTTTTGAATCGAAAACGAAACAAATAGACTAACAGTTCGAACAAAACGAAAATACAAATAACAAAATGACAAGGCTCGAAACATTAAACCAAGACTCTGAAATATCCAGACCAAAGAAATCACAGTAGCTAATAAGAGAGTTCCACGAGTATCCACTACAAACACGAAAAATCAACAAACAATAACGAACCGAACAAAAATCTGATGATCAACGAGAATCAATAGCCGATCATGGTATATATTTAGCGAATAACACGAATACGCAAGACTAAACTGAAAAGGTTGGAAAAAATTTACTCGTCTTCGGGAATTTACGAGAAATCAGAAAAAACAGTTCGAAACAATATGGGACGAACGGAGCCTTGACGGGACTCGAAACTCTGAACACTGTGACTGCTCGCGAACAGCTACTCGCTGGATGTGGAAGGCCTCGCCGGAGAAGACACCGGAAAGAATGGCAGACTGTTGCCGGAATTC